CAGCAGCAGCAGCAGCAGCAGCAGCAGCAGAAATAGAAATAGAACAGCCGCCGCCACCACCTGCCTTGTCTCCTGCTGCAGGCAACCCTTTAACGAAGAGCGGCAGCAGCGCCTACAGCAGCATTCAGCTGCCGCCACTGCAGCACGAGCTGCTCGTGCTGCAGCAGCAGAACTGGACTGGGATGCTGCAGCAACCGCAGCAGGTTGGCGTGCAGCAGCAGCAGCAGCAACAGCAACAGCAGCAGCAGCGAGCTGCGGAGCAGCAGGAGAGTCAGGCGAGGCTGCGGTTACCCCATTTCGGCCCCGCTGAGGCATACGAAGATACAGCAGCAGCAGCAGCAGCAGCGGCAGCAGCAGCAGTTCCCGCAGCAGCAGGAGCAGGGGTTGCGAACGGTGGTTCCGGAGCGTCTGATATGTGTATGGAGGGCTGTGCTGCAGCGAACGAGGAGCTGCAGCAGCAGCTGCAGCAGCAGCTGCAGCAGCGACAGCAGCAGCAGCTGCAGGAGACGCCTTTCTTTGGTTTAGTACACAGCACTGACTCGGGCGTCACCGAGGCCTCCTTCAGCAACCCCAAACAAACAAATGCAAATATAGGGATCCACACATTCACAGGCGCTACGCCGCTCCCTGTCTGGCCCCCATTCGTGCAGCTGTAACAATAGCTGCTGCAGCAACTGCTGCAGCAGCAANGCCGCTCCCTGTCTGGCCCCCATTCGTGCAGCTGTAACAATAGCTGCTGCAGCAACTGCTGCAGCAGCAATAGCTGAAACAGCAGCAGCAGTTGCAGCAGCTGCAGCAGCAATAGCTGAAACAGCAGCAGCAGTTGCAGCAGCTGCAGCAGCAATAGCTGAAGCAGCAGTGGCTGCAGCAGCAATCGCTGAAGCAGCAATGGCTGCAGCAGCAACAGCTGCAGCAGCAATAGCTGAAGCAGCAACAGCTGCAGCAGCAATAGCTGAAGCAGCAGTGGCTGCAGCAGCAACAGCTGCAGCAGCAGCAACAGCTACAAGGCAGTTTCTTCTCCGTGCGGCCTGTTGTGTATCTCTGTGTAGAGTATGCAGAGGCTCCCCTTTTTTGGGGTGTACGTACAGCTGCATCTTTTTTGCTGCAATGGCTGCCTGATGTGTATTCTTTTATTTGTCACTTAGAATATTCTGACGATTTGTTTTTGTTTGTTTTCTCCGTTTCTCTGTAAACTGTGTGCAGCGTAACCCTACTGCTACTCGCTTTCTTCTATTTTTCTCGGGTGTATGTACAGCTGCTACGCATGCATATAGTATCTGTCTGGTGTGCAGTGTACATACACCCCAGAGTTGGGGTTTCAGTTTGTTGCGCCGCTGTCATAAGTTCATT